AAAAAAAAAGAAAGCCATAAATCCACAGAAAAATATCATTTTCTGCCCAACATAACACTGACAATGTTGGGTCATTATATCCACAACTTACCATTATGATCACAAACCATAGCAGTAGATATGATGATATTTATGCAGGGATTTGTTGAGATCTCAAAATTATTTCAATTCTTCCTACAAAGTAGAAAGATTGGGAGTGACCTCCATAGAGCCTCCATCCACTGTGTCAGTGTGGCATGGGTTTCTGTGCCTTCCTTCTAATCCCTAAGGATGCTGAAGAGCAAAGTTCTACTGACCATGGAGCCCAGGCCACTCAAACGGCAGGGTTCATTATGAATCACCTTTCACAACTTAATGACCAAAGCCCACATGGGTGTCAGGTTTACCGCAGAGCTGAAACATGGTTGCAAGTCTCCCTCTGTTCTCCTGAGTTCCTTCAGTCCAAAAATACAGAACTGTTACTCAGTAAGGTAGATGCTGTGTGCTCTTCTAGAAGGTTACCTGAGAAATGACATGAAATAAGCTACAAGATGGTATGCAGTATATAAATACCTTTATGTAAACATGTCTAGTTATATAGTTATATGATTTCTTGACTGATTACATATCAGAGACATAGGGATGAATATCACTTGTGGTATTGTGATATAATAAGAAATATACAATATATATACATATCTTTCCCTGTGCCTGGCTAGAGCTCTTAGAACCTTTGTAATTTCCTAAGCAATAGAGAAGGTAAGGGCATCTTTTGTTCAATATTTAGTCTTTGACCTAGTGTCTGGCAAGAATCCCTAAGTCTTACAATATCCTAAACTACATGGGTAACAGGGATTTATTTTCCTAGAGAACAGACATTTATTTGTGCTGCATATCTTCTTTTCTCTTTCTTCTCTTGAATCTCAGCTTTGACGCCCTGGATTTTAACCCACATTTCTCATGAGCCCATAAGTGACAAGCATCTCTAGAGGACAGGTATTAACACAGAGATGTGATTTTGAAGAGAAAGCCAAGAAACTTCAAATAAGAAATGACTGCCTAGCCAGGCATGGTGGGCACACACCTGTAACCTCAGCACATAGGAGGATCACCACAAGTTCAAGGCCAGCCTGGACTCCATAGTAAGTTAAAGGCCAGCCTGAGCCACATAGCAAGATACTGCCCCCCCTCAAAAAAAAATTACTGCCCATCATGTGCAAAGTTGACATTGGAGAATAAAAACACTATGACATTAAAGTGCTACCTCTCTGACTATAGGTTTCAGAAGCATCACGGATGAGACTTTAGAGTTTAGTCAGAGAGACAGACACATAAAGCAAAACAGGTGTATGTAATAAGGTTTCCCTGCCAGAAGTGATTATTTCCAGAGGAAGCCATGCCTTTTCTAACTCTTGAGGGAAGAGGAGGAATAATCCAGGTGCTGAAGAGATGTAAGCACAAAATACAAGATAATTATTTTGCTTATATAAAACAAGCTTCTCAAGGCAAAGGAGATAAAACTAGGGAAACAATCAGAAACAGATCACCAAAACCCCAGTGTGAGAAACCAAGGAAGTACGACTTTATCATAAAGTTAATGAAGTGCTATTGTTGACTCTTAGCAATAAAATGAATTTCTCTTCTTTTCACTTTGGAAAGATCACTACAGCCTGATTCAGAGGTAAGCAGAAAAGAAACTGCAGTTACAATGTAGGCAAGACTCCTGTTGACTCCAACAAAACACAGCAACAGTGTAGTGGGGAGATCAACTAAAGGTAGATATAATGTTGGCAGGAATGGTGATAATTGGATGTGGAATAAGAGAAGAAGGATCTTGGCAGATTCTGAGGTCTCTTCTGGCTTGGAAAAATGAATAGATAATGGCCCTGTGTGTTGACCATAGAAAATTAAAGAAAGAAAGGGTCCTGATTAGTACAGTGAACAGACATGCAGAGAGGTTACTATGCACTGTGGTGATAAACAAAGATCTTATAAAGGCCCTAAATGATGGACAGGATGCAATAGGAACCTCAGTCCTGGTTTGGGACCTTGATAATTCAATAATATGAAGACTAAAAACAATGGGAAGATTTCATGTGTGTTCTGGAAGAGAAGAAAGGGATGGGTTGGCTGACTTAAACAGCAAAGGTGAGCGGCAGCTGCCCAGACACCCAAGGACCTGCCCAATATTGAAAAATACTACTGTCACCAGGATTCCCTGATGGCCTCAGACAAAGCAACTGGGACTCTCCACCAAGCCAAGATTTTATATAGAGTATCTTAAAAGATACATATATACATATTCTTCCAAAAACTCCATGTGTCTGAGATACATAACTCTACTCTTGGGCAAGAGAATGCAATAGGACATATATTGCAAAAACTTCCTGGGAAGTAGACATATCTATCTTTAAGAAATAAATTCCCTCATTCACTTGAAAGGTTCATAAAAGGAAAATTTATAGAGACAAAAACTGGCTACAGACAGGAATAGAGATTAATCATAAAGGGTATAAGGTATCTTATTGGAGCAACAAACTGTATTGCTCTGTGTTGCTGTTCTTGCTCTTGCTGCCACTGTCACTGCCACCACCACCACTGCTGTTGTTGCTAATAACACATTGTCAGAGTCTGGATGTATTTTAATGAAAAGAGTTTTTTTTTTTCTCACAGTTCTGGAAGTCCAAGATAGAACATCAGCCTCTGGTGATAGCCTTGTTGCTAGGAGTCTCAAGGAGGTGCCAGGCACCACATGGTGAAAGTCAGAGAGTGTCCCTCTATGTATCTCTTCTGGTATGTTCCTATCTTCTTTAAAGGATTTAATCATGGGGGAGCCATTCAAATGACCTTATCTAATTTCAGTCACTTCCCAGTGTGTCTCTCTAAACACCATAGTTTGGTTAAGGGCCCACCCTTTGAATATTTCACAATTACGTTTCAATACATGAAGCCTTGTGGAGCGCATTCAAACTATATCCAAACCATAGCACCAACATAATAAGTAGGTTGTACCACTTGGTAAAATTATTTTTAAAAATCATTGAATTTTACACTGAAATTTTATGATATGTGAAACAGACTTTGATAAAGTTTCTTTTTAAAAAAATCAACTTTTGAATATCCAATGTCTACATATAGTCTTTCCAAAAGACTACTAGTCTGCCTGACAAAACACCTGTGTTCAAAGTTATGTGAAATTGCCTTTCCCAGCTTCCCTTTCGGTTAGCCCAGCTCAAAAGGGAAGAAAGTTGTAGTCTTCTTCTTCCTTAGTTTTGCGACAGTGCGTTGCTGCAAAGTGAAGAAACATCCCAGTTGCCAATAAAAACTATTCTAACTATCACTACTGGGATGCTTCCTTTAATGACTGATGCTTGAAAGCTCATTATCTTTCCCTGATTTATACTTAATTTGGTTAAAAGTGGAGCCTGATATTAGTAATTAAGTGTTTCCCCTGGGCATGATGAAGCACGCCTGTAATCCCAGTACTTAGGAGGCTGAGGCAGGGGGATTACTGTGAGTTCAAGACCAGTCTGGACTAGATAGTGAGTTCAAGACCAGCCTGAACTACATAATGAGACCTTGTTTCAAAAAAAAGTTAGGTGTTTTCACCTTTGTTAAGATGTTCTGAATTCTGTTATGTTTCAACATGGGACAGTGGATATGTTGACAATTTGACACAAGATGTAAATGCTGAAACTCGTTTTCCAGGTATTTAAATGTATGTGATTCTTTTCGGCTCATCCCAACATTCATCTTTTGGTTATGTTATTCACCAGGGGGAGAGTCAGATGCTGAATTGCTTTGAACAGATGCTGAATTGCTTGGTTACAGTGGTTTACTGACACTGCCAAATATTTCAAGGTATAACAGATAAAGGCCCTGAATTAAAATTTCACTTGACCTCTTAAGATTCAATATGAATTGATTAGAAAGGTGGTGAAAGCTTATTTTATCAAGTTACATCATGAGATACATAATCCAGCTCCATGCACACTACCCTTAAATGGGTCCTTGATGCTATACAGCTTCATACTGCTTGCAAGATAGGAACATCCAGTGTGTCCCTCGGTTTCTGCATAAAGGTGCATTGGCCTCTCACATGATCAATAAATTTTTATTGGGTTAAACAACAGAGAATTGGGGACTGTTAATTATCCAGCATAGCCTACCCTGCCTTGTTAGCATGAGTAAGAGCAGACCTGAGAGGATCAAATAGTCATTTTCTTTTCACCACTTGGTAGTGACCTTCAGTATACATAGACTCCTGAGACCCACAAAACAGAAAGAATTGGACTTCCTTGACTGAGGACACTGACTGAAACTGCTAAGGCTGTGGTGAATCCAACCCTGGCTACTGGGATATAACAATGGAATAATTCGTCTCTTTGTGAATTGCTTATAAAGGAGTAGAAAGATATTAAGCTGAATCAGGGCCCAGGTGCAGATTCTGCAGGCAAATGAAGTCATATCACCCCTCAATATATCATTCTTAGATGTTACCAGGCATCCAAACACACATAAACATATCTTTCTCTCACATATACAGATACAGAAGGACTCCTGAAATGAAAGAATAAGTCTTTTTGACTAGTAAAGTTACTACATCACAAAGGAGCTGCAATATCACAGAGACCAAATGGCAAGACCACACGAAAGCCCTGAAAGGGAATCCGCAAAGTGGGAGAGAAGGACAGACCAAAAAGCCACTGCTGCATTCAGGGGAGAGAGCTCAGCTGATGCCCAAAATCCCCTCACCCTGCCATTCCAGAAGCAGTTGATGCCCTGCTACAAAGGCTCAGTATGGCTTTGAAGAGCAGCAATATTAGAAGAGCCTGTCCATTTGTATGTGATATCTCCTTAACTAAGTGCAAACAAGGGTGTTTTCCTTCCATTACATTACACACACACACACACACACACACACACACACACTTTTTCACTAAACCTAACCCATTAAGATACGAATTCAAGCTATACTGCAAAACAGTAGTCATAAAAACAGCATGGTACTGAACAAAAACAGACATGTGGATCAGTGCAACAGAACTGAGGATACAGAAACCTCCCCAGACACATTCAACTATTTGATCTTTGACCAAGGGGCCAAAAGAATATACTGGAGGAAAGATAGCCTATTCAACAAGTGGTGTTGAGAAAACTGGTTATCTCCTTGTAGAAGATTGAAACCGGACCTGTATCTCTCACCATATACTAAATTAAAATCAAAATGGATCAAAGATCTAGACATTAAAACAGAAGCATTAAATCTCCTAGAAGAAAAATAAGTAAAACACTTGAAGACAAAGGAGTAGAAAAGGATTTTCTAAACAGAACCTCAATCACACAAGAAATACAAGCAAGAATGAACAAATGAAGGACTTCCAGGAAGATGGAGGAGTGGGGAGCAGCAGAGAAAGAGCTTCTCTGAGATTCAGTGTCCAGACACTGGAATATAGCAATTTGAAGAAAAGAAGGAGAGAAGTGGGTCCTCAGAGACCAGGAAAAATCTGAAGCAATAATTG